TTAAATATTTACATCACATCAATCTATAATGCATAATATATTTTTTAATAATTGACTTATATGCTTAAATAGTATTTTATGCTTAAAGAATATTTTAAAATAATTATTGTAAAAGCATTAAGGATTTATTTTGTAAATTAAGTATTTTCATTTTTTTAAATATGACATATTTAACAAAACAACTTAACTAAATTTTATTAATTAAATATAAGAATTATATTTAAAAATCTATGAAATATATTTATCTATTTTTATTTTAATATTTTATGGCTATGAAAATAGAAAGTTCTAATTCAAAATAAAATAGTTTATATAATATCTATTTAATATCTATTGAATATAATTCAGAGGCTTTTTTAAAAATAAAGAAGAAGAAGAATTACATTATGATACTAATTCTTTTTTAATTACTTATTTATATAGATGAGTATAGAAGATGAGGATAATCAGGATTTAAATAATCCTATGGTCAATGATCTAGTATCAAAAATTCTTGATGATGATTCAATTGTTGGTGACAGTGCTCACAATATTAGTTATAATGGCAATATTCAATATTATTCAGATACTCAGCCCTGTAACATGGAAAATAAAATGGAAAATAATACAGATCCTAATTTTACTATGGATCGCTTCAACATGCATTCAACATTTAATAAATTACAGAATAACATTTCTAATAATGTTAAACTCGAGTGTAATTATAACAATCTTTGTGGAGAACTCAAAACATTGAGCCTCAATACATGTGTAGGACAAGTACCAGATCAAGCAAATTTATATAACAACGGGGTTGGTGCATATCCAAATACGTATCCATCTGATTCACAATCATATGCATTACGTCCAAATAGTGAAAATTACTGTGTTAGCGGAAGTACTATGCCTTTATGCAATGATTTATTAACAACTACAAATGAGACAAATATGAGTAAACAGTCTAACTGGACAGAGAATTTGTCAACACCAGGTTGCACATCAGATCTATTTGGAAATTATCAACGAATACAAAATTGTACAAACCCAGATCTTAATTTCAATATGGCTCTAACATTGGCTCTAGATTCACCTGACCCAATTACTCTGAACGAATTAGAATATCACAATAATATTAGACAAAATGGAACTGCTAATACATATAATAATCTGACACCTTCTATGCATGAATTATACAGTATGACTGCCAATAATCAAAGTTACAGACCAAGTTCAGCAATGACTGATTTGAGTATTGATTCTGGCTTTCTTTCGAACTCTCCATTACAACATTTTTCTCCAGCTGATACGAATTTGCACAATTTTGGGAATAATATACAACGCAGTAATGCTAATGATTATAAAGATTTACATGATTCAAATAGATTAAGCGTGGCAAATATCTCCCTACCAAATGAACAACTCCAATTTTTGCAACAACAAGCTCGTAGCTACAAATTAAATCAAGCTGTGGACCAAGAATATAAGCAACTAATCGATTATTATCCAAGTGTAAGCGACCACATCTTTACCACATCATCGATCAATAGTTTAGATACAAACGAAAATTGTCTTACAAATAACGATTATAGAATTGATAATAATTTACTGAAAATTATCAGTCCAAAATCAAAGACTATCGAATCTAAGACATATTCACCAATTGGATTTCCAAAAAATTTAAGTTCACGTAACGCTCATCAGTCAATTGCAAAATATGGATATCACAATTATCAACATTACACTGCCAATAGCGGCGAGACTTTGAAAATGTTACCACAAAGTTCCACATCTTATCAGGACTTGAAGCAGCCTAATAGTACTAATACGTATAAGATGGAAGGATTTGACCTTACCAAAGAAATAGCTTTTCCTTCAGTAAATCATTTGACAAATCAAATCGCAGGGTCTTCAATGAACAAAGATACTTTTAATTATCTTATGAAACAACGACATCACATGCCAAGAATACAAAATAGTGCTGGTATTCCATCTGCTGATGTTCTTTTTAATTCGGGAATAGTACCAAATCCTGGTACAGTAAGATCTGGAGTATTCCCACCAGTAATGCCAGTTCCTGTACCACTTCCGATCCCACGTTTATTTTCTGTACTTTATGGTGGAGGTTTGAGTCTTAGAAATGGAAGTGGAGCAGCTAGACGTACAGCACCTTCAAGTATATTGCACTTCAGACTAGAGCAAACTTACGAACAGTTTAAACAATTAGAAAAAGAACGTAAGAAATGTGAGGCTGGGTTAGCTGCTCATTTCCCTGGCAAAAGAGTGACAAGTGCAAATAATATACCTATTCCTCGCCTTCAAGGAAATCCATCACGTGTCGATCGTTTAATCATTGACTATTTGAGAGAGCATGCACGCGTTATAACTTTGATTGCGAAGGTAGTATAATATTATTTTGTTTTGATGTTGATAAAGATATATTAAAAAAACAATAAGATATCTCTTATAAATAATAGATGGAACGTTTGCGAGGGACCACGATGAATCAACGCGTACATAAAGCTATGGAGTATTGGTTGGAAGCAATAAAATTTGTTCAAGAATGTCGTAAACGAGAAATTGCAAATGCTACTAAACGCCAGAAAGAGAATCCACCGTGTATTCTTGTATACAATGATAACGGTACGTTCATAGGATATTCAACCGCATATTTAATTACAGATATAAACGACAAATTATAAAATATATAAAATATAATTCCTTATTTTATTTATTATATTTAGTTAGAAATTTATATTTAGTTAGAAATAGTTGCAGTAGTTAATTTTTAAATTTATATTTAGTTAGAAATAGTTGCAGTAGTTAATTTTTTAATCTCTTTTAAAAACATTACAAACATTGAATATTTCATTATTAAATAATAATAAAGAAATTCATATTTAAATTATTTTTTTATATTTACAGATATATTAACATTGGCAGCCAGTGTCTACGAATTGACGAAGGCATCTCGATATGCTAGAACTGGTATGTATAATGCATTACAAGCCACACTATTGTATGATCTGGAAATAGAAAAAAAAATCGTTGAAACTTCTAAAGATCCAGTTCTCGTGATAAAACGTAATGAAAGTCAGATTGCAAGTGACGTTGGTGATTATTCAAGCTGTACCTAGCAAGATTTTGAAAGCCGCTTTTCCATTTCGTATGACAAAACATAGATCGAGTCCAGCAGCTTTTTACGTACGTATTCCGCATTACGTTAATGAAAAGCTTTTGCTGGCGTTTATCATAATTTTATCGCTGAGACAAAAAATGCCGCCCATTAATTGCGAAATTTTCAAAACATCATACGAAGAAATATGCGTATACCGCGTCGGAATAGGGAAATCGTATGCGTATCTACTTTTTACAAATTAATATTATAGTAACTCCATAGTTTTCTACTGTACATATATTTATCCCTACTATAATACAGTCTTGGGAGTGTCAGTTTTCGGTATCCAATACTTGTGATCCAGTTGTCTATCGTATGTCGCACTTTCAAGTGAGTTTGCTTGTTCTTTGTTGATATATTAACAAAAAGAAAACCTACGAACGTCGATATTTCTATCTTTGGGTATGCTGTCTTGCATATTTCACAATGCCAAAGATAATCATTTCAAATGGTTCATTTCATTGAGGATCCGATGCTCGTAAAAAAGGACAAGATTGCTCAGATGTGATTGCCGAAAAGAAGCAAAAAAGAAACAAAAAAAGGAAGAAGTAAGAGAGGAGAAAGGAACGTTCGCAAGAATTTCCAACTATTACTCGTTTAAGTATGTGTCATATGGTTAGATGATAGGTTAACTTTCATCAATATATTTGTTCAAAGTGCTAGGCAGTAATTTCTTAGACTAGTTCAATGTGGCCTTCCTTAAATGTGTGACCCAAGATGTATATCAGATAGTCAAAATACATCTCGAAAAATCTTCGAATATTTCGAAAAATTGAAAACGCGATACAGCAACTTAAATCTCAGATCGGGTGAGCTTTTCTCAATCTGTGAAATGTGTGTAGCCTTTGATCTGACTCGATATATAGATGTATATATATATATATAAATATATATATAATAGATATATATACAACGCAAATGATGTCCACTATGCTACAGATAAATCTTAAAAGAAAGGTTATGAGAGAAGACTTTTCTAACGCATACTCGCTACACGCATCCACAAAAGTGCTCTGGCGTAACATTTACGCACAGCGCATAGTCGCAATTACATTTAACTATAAACCAAAATATTAAAATATTCGTGTATATAATTACACACATATACATGAAATATTATATGTGTGCATACATGTGCATGTACATGTCCCGTGTGAACACGTATACGTGTATGCATGTGCACATAGATTTATGTGCAAGTACGTGCAACTTATATGAGATATATGGAGAATTTTTAACGTGCATACGTGAAACACAAAACTATTCCTATATACTTAGTACATATACGTTCTAGAGAAGTTAATTAGTTTTACGACGGCCGACTTGCAAAGTTCAGCATTTCCTCTACTCTGTATTGAGTAATCTCTTTCACATTGACAACTATTGTTAGGCTCAAGATATTTTAACGTTCCAACATGCATATGTACAATTCTGTACGATTTTCTTCTATTATAATTTTAGATCGCGACGCGATCACGCAAGCTCGAGTTCCAGTTCAATCATCGAACGACGTTTCGTTCTTCAAAGAGACTTGAATGACAAATTATTTCCGTATTCCTATGAAAACTATGAAACAGGTATTCGCACAACGACAAACGAGGATATTTCGTATTAGAAAGAAAAGAGATGAGAATGCAAATATCCCATACACTGTCCAACATAGAGGGATGACAAGATGATGAAATTTATTGTTAATCTCCAGGTCTAATTTTCTTAAATATCTAAGCTGCAATCGACCGGCCTGTATTATGATTAGAAATATTTGTAAAATTGGTTATTGATTGTCGAGTGTCGGTGGAGCTTCAATGTAATCATCTTTGCATATATATCCGTCAACTCCTATCTAAGCTGCATTGTGTATGTAGTGCCCAGTGATAAGATAGGGACAAATGGTGTGTCGGTTTTATTCCTCCTGTACTTCTGTATCAATCTTAGGCAAGCAACATTAGTAAACTAAAGTATTTAATTTAGTTTCTAGCTAGGGATACAGTTTTCTGGCTGTCTTTGCTGCTGACCATTACTAACCAACCAATGTTTCTCAAATCTCTACATTGTACTCTGGTATATTGATACAGCTTTTTTACAAAGTTGTCGAAGCTTCACAAAAAGCTTTTTCATTGGTATCTTATTCCTTTCTTATCTTAAACCACTCGCATATCGACTGATAATTTTTATGGATTATATATATTCATTTATTTTCTTCAAGTTAAAGCAAAGAAAATTTTAATTCCAATGAAGGAAATGTGAATTCTGTGGAAGATGGACTAAGTAACTTTAAACTAAGTTTCTGAATCGTTTTATCGCTTGGACGTACGCGTTTTCATGTGGAATAAAAATTGTTTGTAAAAAAAAAAAATCATCTACAAGATATCTTTGAATTTACCGTACCAAAACAGTGGGAATTGCTCGGCTGCAAAGACAATCTTTAACAGAGAAGGGCCCGGTACTATTCAATCTTGCAAAAGATGTAATAAGGCATACATACAGACTGTTAATTTGCTTTTACGTAGTGCTCACATAATCATTAAGGACCATGTCATCTCCACGTACATCAGTATATCTGATTTCATTCTTCATTAATACAAAGGAACATTTGTATTTCTTTGCAACTCCATTGTTTTATCCTTATCTTTCTCTCATCATTTTCTTTTTTCTCTCTCCTTTTTCTTTTTATTTTTGTTTCATCTAATTTCAGAGGTGAGCAACATGCGGATTTAACCTGATTATTTTCTACGTTAGTATATTCTTTTGTTGACGTTCCCTCTCTGTCTTATGCCTTTTCTTCCCTCCTTTGGAAGCGTTGAAGGTGACTGAGCGCTGGAAGAGAAACGCGTGTGGTCTTATACGATTTGTTTATTTCGTCTCCAAGAATAAGGCAGAACACAAATGACTTGAACACGCGTCCGGAAATGTCGAAAGTATAGCCTTAGCAAGA